TATTATTTATGTCTGAGTTAACTATGTTGTATTAGATAAGTCGCCGACTTCAGACGGGATCGGGCCGCCGTGTATTTTCAGTCCTGACGTGGTTCTTAATGTGGATGGCGCCGCCGCACTCGACATAGGGTCCCAGTGGGAGAGACTGTTATGGTTGGATAGAGATTTCTTGATCTTGAGGACGGTTTTTATGTCACCTTTGTGACAGTGATCTTTAGATATAGAGGTAGTGAAGAGGAGCGTGAACAAAAATAAGACTAAGAGCAATGTCATTGTCTTATCCATCGTTTTTAGTGTTTTGAGTTCTAATGGAAACTGTGATGATATATATATATAGAAAGGCTATATTAAGGAGAGCATTGGTGCGGTAAGGTATTAAACATGTCGCGGTACGGATTTTCAATTAAAAAGATTTTAAAATAAAAAGAAAAATCTTTTTTTGTTGTTGTTGTTACCGTTGTAAGTGAAAACAGAGGATTAGTCTTTTTTTTTTTATTTGTTATTGTTACCGTTGTAAGTGAAATCAGAGAATAATTTTTTTGGACTTTTCGTTTTCTACAAAAATTTCATACTGGTATAATAGAATTCCTTTTTTTTTTGTGGTTTCTGGTTGTTAACTAGAGAGTATGAAACCTCTTGATGATTGGTGTTAGAGATAATTACTAAAACAATTTTAGAAAGTAGGTTAATTACTAGAACAACTTTCATTCAACCTTGAAACTCAACATAAGTAATTTAAGACAAATAAACCTTAATAACAAGTTTTTATTACGAAAATGTCATTTGTAAAAAAAAAAAAAATCAATTTGTTTGAAACCGCGGTCAGAGGCGCGGCGGAGGTGTGGAGGCGGAATTTAGGCAAAAATCGGATTAAAAATCAAAAGTTAGAAAAAAATTCAAAATCTTTTGATTTTTTTTGTTAGAAAAAGATATATGATGTTAGATCTACTAGTTTTAGGCAAAATCTAGTTGAAAACGAGTTAAAATACAGTAAAAACGAACTCAAAAATGGCTGACCGTCATTGTTAGGGTTTGAGAAAAGCTTGGTGTTTTGTGGAGAAGATGAAAGGTAAATTACNATTTTACCNTTTATTGAATAAATCTACCACTACTATAAATAAGTCTACCACTACTATAAATAAGTCTACCATATATTATAAATCTACCACTACCACGACTATAAATAAGTCTACCACATATTATAAATCTACCACTACTATAAACAAGTCTAAGGTTATTTTAGTAAAGAAGTTAAAAGATTGAATAAATCTACCATTACAATAAATAAGTCTACCACATATTATAACGCTA